GGGAGGGGGGGGGGGGGGGGGTCTTTTTAAGCATGCATTTAACTCAAGCGCTTTGCAAACAGGTAGGAGAGAAGAGCTCTGTTAAAAATAAATTCAATGAGGGCTGAGAGCTGGAAATCCAAACCTGCGCCTTCCTTCCAGCTATCCTGCCCAATCAGGCACACAACTTTGATCCTGATATTTGGAAGGTAAAACACAAGCAGAAATATAAACTTTGCGTTGTTTCTTCATATGGAAAAACAGCCTTTTAAATCTGTGTCTCTAACATAGAGTTTTCTCTAGTTTTCATCCCTTACAAAGTGCTACCTATGTGTTTTTCTACAAAGAGGTAAAACAGACCATACCACCCTGCCACAACATTCACTCACCCAGTGTCCTCCTCTCATCTTTAACCGCTATCCTTCTACCATGGCTGGGTTTGCACTATGTGGTTGAACTGTTCTATGAAATATTTTGACACGTGAGATGGTCTGCATCTGACTGGGTTTTGGCTTTTTGCTTTTGAAAAATTGGAAGGAATAATTTAATCTGTAACTGTGACTGGAGATATTTTAATACTGACCCATGAAATTCGGCGCGCTGTAATTTTACAATCTCACTTACGATCTCTGCTTCTCCTAGAGGGGATCTTGGAGTGATTTGTTTTGGCCTGTAGAAGGTTTTCTTATATTTTCCTGAATGTAACAAACAGATTCAGAAAGAAATTGAACCTAAATGGCATATCATGATTTTGCTTTTTCACTCCACTCCCAAAAACGTTGCTTTACCAATTTTTGTTAGAGACAGAGTACTCTTTTGTTTTGGTTTAGTTTTTTTGGACACACACAATATTTTGGACTTAGCAGCAGTTGAAATGTTTAGTGTAGTTTGGGGAGATCATTGCTGTCAGTTGTTTCATACTGAGGAAATAAGACATGGAACATACCAAACGAAACTTTTGGTGGCTTGGGGAAAGGAAGGTGGGGGAAATACAGGTGAGCGGGATCTCATTACCTCCCCTGGACCGGAGTGCTGAGCCTGCCTTAGCCCTCCATGTCCCCTGTCTACACATGGGAATGCAGAATGTTCAGCCTAGAACAGTGGTTCCTAAACTTTTCCACCCTACGCCATATTCCCAGGGGTTGCACTGCCCCAGGATCACTGCCCTGGAGGGTGCCGGGGAAAAGACAAATATTTGTGCAGTGCAGCCTCTCAAAACACTTTACAAATACAAGGAGTGAATCTGCCTCACAGCCCTGTCCAAGTATCACCCCATGGTTAATGGGGGAAACTGAGGCACAGAGGTTAGCAGTCGAGGCTGGTGAGCAACTCAGAGCTGGCACCAGAAGCAAACGCCTGCGTCTCAGCACTAACCACTAGTCTGTGCTGCCTCCTGGATAGGGTTTGGCAGGACCTGTGCTGCCTGCTTGTGAACCAGGCTTCTGTCAGGGAGGGATAGCTCAGTGGTTTGCGCATTGGCCTACTAAACCCAGGGTTGTGAGCTCAATCCTTGAGGGGGCCATTTATGGATCTGGGGCAAAAATCTGTCTGGGGATTGGTCCTACTTTAAGCAGGGGGTTGGACTAGATGACCTCCTGAGGTCCCTTCCAACCCTGATATTCTATGATTCTGTCAGACCCTCCCTTAGCCGGGTGGGGTGGGGCAGTAATTTAAAGGGACACATCCATATGTGCGCAGCATTTATTTGGTTAGCAAAAAACCAACCGTGCCCAAGGACGGGTTTGAGAGAGACACCCACGCTCTGCTCTGTTAGGGAAGAGGGATAAAGGCAGGTGTATGGCAATGTAATTAGCTTTGAGCTGTTCCCCCCACCCCCACATTACAGCACAGCATCCATTTGTCCCTGCCCCCCACACACAAGAGAAAACAACCAAACATAAAAGGAAGAGAAAGAACTTTGAAACTGCTCGGTTGGGTAAGCCTGGAACATTAACCCTTAGAGTGCTGCAGTTTGGTACCTTGCTCCTCAGGCTTGCTAACTTGCCCCCCAGCAGGGCCCACGTCTCCCATCATCCCCTGTTGCAAACTCCCCCCTTTAAGCCACCAACATTGGTTCCCATCTGCCGGCTCTTCTGTTACTGGCCGCTCCCGCTCCCACTCCCACTCCCCCTGCCCCGCCATTACCTCCTCCGGTTATCAGCAAGCAACTGAAAATCCTTCTGTTCCCCACCACCCAAAATGCAACCTCCATCACAGCCCCTAACCCCCTCCTCTCCCCAGCACTGTCCCAATCTTCCTGCAAACCACTGACAAGTAACCCTGATCCCCCACCATCTCCCCCCAGCTGCCAAATCCACCCCCTTTTCCTCCATCTGGAACCTCAGCATTGCTGTAGGGGTCTGCAGGCTCAGCCCTGCCCCACAGCAGAGGCTTGTGAGCCCGGCAGCCCCAAGAGAGATGGTGATGTTTTGAGCTGGGGTGAAGGTCTCTGGCCAGGCTCAGAATCCCCTAGAGGCTGTTCTGGGCTGGTGGGGGCAGGCGGG